AGTTTTTAAGAGTTTTTGTCAAATGCTTTATAATATAGTATAGATTATTTTTTTTATAATTTAATTTAAGTTTAATGATAAAATAATTTATTTTTGGTTGAATAACATAACATTTTATAACGATAATAATTAAGTATTCTGTTAAAACTCGTGATTATCCTAATTATATTTTAGATTTTTTATATTTAAAATTAGATGTTTATCATGTATTTGATTGTGTTTATCTGCAGTTAGTTATACGAATTCAGATATGGGATGAAATCGGATATGGATGAAATCTGGTTTAAGAGTTTTTAAGAGTTTTTAAGAGTTTTAGCCAAATACTTTATAATATAGTATAGATAATGATTTTAAAAGTTGGTTTTTTAAAATAGAAATCAGATAAAAGTTGATTTTATTTTGGTAAATTTTTCCTGTTGAAAAGGATAAGAATAAACAATCCCAACCCACCAAACGAGAGTTTGTTTTTTCTGTTCAACTAGAAGCTTATCCCACACACTCATCTCTCTCGATCTCTCACAGGCCCTGCATCTGACGCTGCATCTCACAGTCGCTCTAGCTCTTACGCTCTCTCACGCAATCCATCCCCAAATCGCTCACTATCTCACAGCAATCGATCTCTCACAGATCTCGATCTCGATCTGGTAACTTAAAATCTTCAAAAGGTATGTCGATTTCTACCTCCTGCTTCATATATATATATATACACACACACACACACACACACACACGTGGAATTGCCTTTCTTTTTTACGGGTTTTGATGGTCTTCTTTACTGGTTCTTCTTCTTCTTTACTTGTTTTGATGGTCTTCTTTACTGATTTTGATGCGTTTTGATGGTCTTCTTTGCTGGTGCTATTGTATAGACTGTAAAAATCGATGTTTTTGATGCTTCTTTTTTACTGGTAGATGGGTCAAGCTTTTAGGTATAGTGTTGCAATCACTGGAGGCTGGAGCTATCCTGTACATAATTCAATATTTACCAAAACTAGTACTTTTAGGTATAATGTTGCAACAATCAAGAAATTGAGACTATCACATGTTTGAAGGATGTATGAAGATGACAGGATGATAAAAAATGTGGGTTTCTTGGTTTGGTAACAAGGGTTTCAACTTATCACCAAACTCATCATTGAAATGTCTGAAAGAGGCACTGCACTGCACTGCCAACAACAGATACAGATGCAGTTTCAACCCCCTTCACAACCCCAATTCTACAACACAAATGAAACAGAAACAACCATAAACCCATTTCATAAATAAGAAATGAAAATAGTCGCTTAAAAACAAACAGCTAACGTGTAAATAAGATATGCATATACATGTTAACCTGTAAAATGAAAGGTTAATATTTGCAGCTAAGATATGCATATACATGCAGGCAACTACATATACATACTCTCATCTATATCTATACTATCTTATTAAGCAAATTTAGCAAACGTCTTAAAAGTCTTAAAATACTAAATATCTTATTAAGCAAATTTAGCAAAACTTTTAAAATACTAAATGACCAAAATACCCTTTATACTCACTTTTTCACCCCTCCTCTCCTCACGTACACTCACCCTTTCACAACCGATTTTTTTAAATTATAATTTTAAATTTACATTTTATACCCTTATAATTAATTAATTAATTAATTTACTTTGCTTCCTTTACTTTTAAATGTTTCATTTTAAACCT